GCCGGGCTGCGGGTCTCGGGGCGGCAGCAGCGAGTAGGTGAGCTGGGCGTTGGCGCCCGAGTCTCTGTCCGTGGCGCTGACGGTGCCGATGTGCAGGGCGGGGCTGTTGTTCTCGGGGACCAGCAGGGTGTAGGAGGCCTGGGTGAAGGTCGGGGCGTTGTCGTTGACGTCGGAGACCTGCACGGTTAGGTTGTGCTGGGTTCTCAGCCTGGGTGTGCCCAAGTCGGTGACCGTGATGGTGATGCTGTACTCTGACTTCTTTTCTCTGTCCAGTGCACCCTCTGTGACCAGGGTGTAAAAGTTCTCGAAAGAAGGCTTCAAAAGAAAGGGGACGTCGTTTTGGATGGAGCAAACTACTCTACCATTGTCCCCGGAATCTGGATCAAAAACACTGAATATGGCAATTACAGTCTCTGGAGAGTTTTCTAGGATGGATCTGCTGAGCGTGGACATGGTCAGTTCAGGGGCATTGTCATTCACATCTAACACCTCTATAGCCACAGTGCATTTCTCTGAGAGGCCCCCACTGTCCATGGCTACAATTTCCAAGTTATAATACTGATTTTCCTCGAAATCCAACATCTGTTTCAGACGAATTTCTCCTGTTGTTTCATCTATTACAAATGGTTGAGTAACTTCATCACCATGAAATACAGCATAGACTACATGTCCATGTGTTCCTGCGTCTAAATCTCGGGCAGAGACGACCACTACAATGGAATTAAGGGGACTGTTCTCAGGAATCTGTACTTCATAGAGCGACTGTAAAAATCCAGGAGCATTGTCATTGATGTCTAGGACTTCAACGTGTACTGTTGAGGTCCCGGACCTGGGCGGAACCCCACCATCCAGCGCCATGAGCGTTAAACTGAACTCAGGCTGATCCTCTCGGTCCAGCGTTTTATCCAGAACCAGTTCTGGATATTTTCTGCCATCTCCGCGATTGTGAGTCACCACATGAAAATGGGAGTTGGGGCTGATTGTGTAATTCTGAACAGCGTTGCTCCCTATGTCAAAGTCCTGGGCTATTTTCAAAGGAAACATAGTCCCTGGCTGGACGTTCTCTTGGATTTTAAGGAGCATTTCCCTCTCTAAGAACTCTGGAGAATGGTCATTTATATCTGTGAGTTGCACATCGCCTTGAAAAAACTGCACCGGGTTTTCCAGTAACAGTTGGAAATGCAACATACAGGGTTCTGTCGCCCCGCACAGCCCCTCCCGGTCTAGCTTTTCTTGTAGAAGCAAATTGCCAGTCTTTACATCGAGCTGCAAGAGCTGTTTCTTTCCTTTGCAATGGATTCGCGCTCCTCGAGTGGCCAGTTCCCCCACCCTGAGCCCCAGATCTTCTGCCAGGTTGGCTACAAGGTAGCCACTTTCTGTTTCTTCTGGCATCGAATACCTAATTGCCTCAGAGCCAGCACCCCCGAAAAACAACAGCGTAACAAGAAAAATCACTTGCCTTTTGTGCAGTGTGGTTGCTAGTGCAGTCTCCATTGTTCAGACCTGGTCCAGAAGGTGCAGTTTCTTCACCTCAGTGTACAATCCACCCAGATGCTTTGGTTAAACAATCATGAATTAAATGTTGCAAACTGACTTGCATCTAAGATGATGCCTTCTCCGAAGATCTCTCCTCTAGATGCTATCTAAAATACTTCCTTTCTTTAGCGAGCATCAGAAATCTGATTACCAGCATAATGGCTTCCTTTTTTCTGCAGAGCCATTCTTCATACTCTTAGACTGCAGCGCCACCAAGCGTCCATATGTACTACTGCATAGTATTTGCCATTTTATTTTACTCTAAATTCCAACCCTAGTATTGTACTTTATTAATATCCTGTTAATTCACAGAAGCACCTTAGATGAATCTATAACCCTTAGTGATTGTAAGTTCTAAATACACGTCCTGAATTAATTTTCAGTGAAAAATACTTTTAAGAACAAACCAAAATGATGTTATTCTCCCTAATTACATTTTAGGACATTTAGAAACTTTCTTTTGTTGGTTTATAATTTGATTATATTGAAAATATGATTTATAAAAATTTTTCAAGTTTTACAAAGTTACTTTTATTTTGAAGTATAGCATAGAGAAAAGGATACAAATAATTCCACAACTCGGTGAATTTTTCAGTTAATATACTCCTATTAATAGAACCTTGATTCAAAATGAAACACTACTAAACTCCAAGAAAATCCATCCTGCTATTGTCTCCTCACTACCCTCTCCTCAAAGGAGAAGCACTTTCCTGAATTCTATTTTCATGTTTTTTTCTTATGTTTAAAAATGTTTTTCAAATAGAATAACAGAATATTACTCTGCTGTCTTTCTTCACTCAATATTATATTAGGAAAATTATCTGTGGAATATTATCCTAATTTGTTTTATTATTGCCTTTTTTATTACTGTATTTTATCCATGTCATTATTTTAAAAATATATTCCTCAATTCTCAAACATTGGTTTTTCTAGTTTTGAACTTTCTTGTTTTGTAGCACCTCTCTGAACATTCTTGTACCTGTCTTTCGGTGAACACATGTTGGTATTTATCTTGATATATTAATAGTGGTTGGATTGCTGTATACAAAGTTGTACATAGGTTTTTGGCTTTACCGAATATTGTGAAGGATTTTTTAAAAGTACTGTACCAACACCAGCAAAGTTTCTTCATATCCTTGACAACATTTGCTGTTGTCATTTGAATTTTAACCACTCTGTGTGGTGATATCATAATTTTAATAGTCATTTCCCTGGTGATTAATGAAAATTTCACATTTATCGACTTATAAATGTGCTTGATCCAGTTTTGTGATATTTGTGTTCAAACCTTTTGTCCATTTTTCTCTTTGTGGTATTTGCCTGTTTGCTTGTTAGTATACAGAAATATCTTCTGAATTCTGAGTATAAGACTTTATTTCAGATATATGTATTACAAATATCTCTTCCTATTCTATTTGTATTTTACTCTATTATAGTCCCTTTATTCAGTAATAATTTTTTTTTTTTTTTTTTTTTTTTTGGTACCAGGGATTGAACCCGGGTCCTTGCACTTGCAAGGCAGGCGGCAGAACCACTGAGCCAAATCCCTGGCCCTTATTCAATAATACTTCTTTATTTTCCTTTGATTTGTCAATATTTTCTTTTGGTTAACACTTTTATATTCCATTCTACTGCATTTTCTAGGGTCATGAAAATATTTTATATGATATGTTAAAGACGAATTTATTTAAACAATTTTCATAAAGCAATAATCAACTCAAAAAATTTTTCCAATTAATATTGTTAATATTTTCAAAATTTCCTGCAAATGCCTGTGTGGCATGTATTTAAGAGATGAGCTGTTCTCATTATCTCTGAAGTATCATCAGTGTCATAAATCTTGTAGTCACAAGTCTGCTCAAGTTCTATTTTTCTCTTTATCCTGCAACAACAAATTGCCTCAACTAATATACATTTCTCAGAAGTTATATTATCTGAGATGTAAGTCTTCCATTTTTATTATGATGTAGGCTATTTTCAAGAGCAGTTTTAGATTCACTAAAAAATAAAAGAAGTACATAGGTTTCCTATATGTCCTTTTGCCTATATATATAGCACTCTTCCTATTGTCAATATCCTCTGCCAGTGAGGCACATTTCTTATGAATGATGAACATACATTCGCACATCTTTATCATCAAATGCATAGTATACATTATTGTTCACTCTTGGCAGTGAACATTCTATAGGTTTGGCCAAACTGAAAGTAGCACAGATTCACCCTTGTGGTATCAGACCAACTACTTTCACTGTTTAAAATACCCTATACTTTATATATTTATTACTCCCTCCCCCAGAATACATGGATATCACTAATCTACTAGTGTTTCTACAGTGTTGCCTGTTCAAAATATATAGTGAAGATCATTCAGTATGGAGTCTTTTTGGATTGGCTTCTGTCACATTGTAATATGCATTGAAGTTTTTTCAATGCTTTTTCATGGATTGATTTTCATTGCTTTTTGTCACTGAATAAAAATATTCCATTGCTGAATCACAATTAAATTTTCCTTCACCTACTAAAGATTATATTGCTTCTTAAAATTATGTATAAAGCTTCTATAAGCTGTGCAACTTTTTGTATGGACAGACGGTTTTCACTGTGGAAAAAATACTCATGAGTATGATGAAAGTATGTTTGGTTTATCATAAAATGCTAAACTGTCTCCAAAATGGCAGTACTATTTTCCCTTTTATATTAGGAGTGAATAAGTCTTCTGTGGATATAGTCACACTAGGTATATAATGGCTAGTGTTTGTGAATTTTCCATCTGTACTTACCATGTAATTGTTTTTCCATTTGTCCCTAAACTTTTGATCTTCTTTTGGATTATTAAAATACTTGTGATTTTTTAACAAAGTATTTCCTTCACTTAATAGTTATTCTTTTAATGGTATCCAAGAAATTACAGTGTGCACTTTTTTTTGGAATGGGGCTCAAACTCAAGACCTTGCACTTGCGAAGCAGGCACGGTGCCACTGAGCTAAATCTGTGGCCCACAGCATGCATGTTTGATCTCTAAGAATTTAATAAAATTATTAATTTTTCTACTTCATGACATTATGCTTACAAACTTGGAATTCTTTAAGTCTATATTTCTGCCTTTTATGTTACTGCTATTATGAATTTAAATTTCAAATATATTTTAAATCCTTTAAGGAACTATTACCTTTGCCTAATATAATTAATATTTATATATATTTACTCTTCAGTCACTTTTTCTTCCTCTAGTTTTAATCATTCATTAAGTTTACTGGTACCGTTTAGATATACATAATGATCACATTCATTGTATGGAATTTGTACCTGTACATGATATATCTTGATTCTTTTTTTCTCATTCCTTTCCCTTCTCTTCAACCCCTCTTCTTTTTTTAAGATCTTTGTTTCCACTTTTTATTTTCTTGTGTTTTTCTTTTCCCTTCTTTTCCCTCTCCTCCCTCTCTTGTGCCCCTTCCCACTTGAATATTTTCTTCCTATTTCACAGTATCTGTTATACGTTTTGGTCTTTATTTACACTGTCACTAACACCAGAGAAACAGTGTGATATTTACATATGTGTGATGACTTATTTCACTTAAGTGTATGTCTCTAGGTTCATTCATTTGCTACAAATATCTCAAGATTATCCTTCTTTATGGCTGAGCAGTACTCCATTGTATTAAAAAAAAACATCTTTATCCATTCATTAGCTGATGGGCATTTGAACTGTTTCTACAAACTGTGCTGCTATAAACATGGATATGTAATCTCCACACTGATTTCCCAGTAGTTGCACCAGTCCACACTCCCACCAATAGTGGAGATTAGGGCTTTAAATCTGGGGTGGGGCTGATTTTTTCAGTTATTTATATATTCTATATATGGTCTTTTCGCTGAGGAACAGATGGAAAAAATTTTTCCCCACCATTTTGGTTGTCTTTTTATTCTGTTGGTGATTTCATTTGCTGTGCAAAAGCTTTTTAAAAAGACCTCAAATTTTTCTTTGTACTATATCCCATGTGATCAGGGTTCTGTTCATTAAGTCTTTGCCTGCACTTGTCTTCAAGAGTTCCACCTATTCTCTCTTCCAGCAAATTTAGTGTTTCTGTTTTAATATTTAGACCTTTGGTCCATTTTTATTTTAGTTTAGTGCATGGTGAGAGACATGGATCTAACTTTAGCATTCAGCTTCAGCATGTGGAAAACCAGTTTTTCCAGGACCATTTATTAAAGAGGCTTTCTTCCAGTGAAGGTGTTTAACACATTTGTCAAAGATATAGTTTGAATGTGTTTGCAGTTGTTTTTGCACCTTCTGTTCTATTCCATTGATCATCAGGTTATTTTTCTTCCAGTACCATGATGTTTTTAATCACAGTACCTCTGTAGTGTAAATTTCAAGTCAGGGATTGTGATGCCCTCTGCCTTGCCTTTGTTACCCAGAAATGCTTTTTCTAATCTAGGTCTCTTCTGGTTCCACATGAATTTAGGAATGCTTTCGCTAGTTCTGTGAGGTATAGTTTTGGTATTTTGATTGGAATTGCATTAAATCTGTATAACAATTTTGGGAGCATGGCCATTTTTACTATGTTTGTTCTTCCCACCCACAAACAAGGGATATCTTTCCATTTCCTCATATTCTCTTTAAGCTCCTTTTTCAGAGTACTGCAGTTTTCAATATAAAGCTCTTTCATTTCCTTTGTTGGATTAATTCCTAAGTATTTCACTTTTTGATGCCATTATGAAAGATGTAGTTTCTCTAAGTTCTCTCAGTAAGTTTGTTGTTTGTGTACAGGAATGCTATTGATTTTTGAGTGTTGACTTTCTGTGTAGCTATGTGACTAAATTTGGTGATTAAATCTAGAACTCTTTTGGTGGAGTTTTTGGGGTCTTCTAGGTAGAGCATCATGTCATCTACAAATGATAGTTTAACTTCTTTCCTATCTTTATTATTTTTATTTCTTTCTCTTGTCTAATTGTT